GGACAAGGCCCGGGCGGCACAGGCCGCTCCACGGCACAGTGCCAGTCCTGGTATGGACACCCAGAGCAGGATGGAGATGGGGCAGGGTGCTGCCCCCGAGGTATTGTGGTGTGCCTCCTGACGCCCATCCTCACAATGCTGCAGGGCCCCTGGTGAAGGCAAAGACTGTGAAGAAGCCGGAGGGCACAGATACCCCCCGCACCTCTCGTGCCAGTGGTGAGTGCCGAAAGCCCCAGGGCAGCTTCTGCCTGTGTGCCCTGTCTGCCCACAGCCCTGGGCAGGGGGCTACCCACCCCACTGAACCATCTCCTGCCCGCAGCTCTCCAGGCAGTGGCTGCCTCGGTGCAGAGAGCGGTGGCTGTGGCAGGTGGTGAGGTGCCCGTCAGCCGTGGGGCCATCGAGGGCATCCTCATTAAACACGTGCTGGACCCAAGTAAGTACAGCCCAGCCCAGCCCAGCCACCTTCTGCCCACTTTAGTCCCCAAATTCAGGAGCCACCCTCAGGCAGGACGAGGTGGGAAAGGAGCTGGAGCTGCCTCTGGCCTCTCTTGCAGACAGCTCCAAGATGGGCAGCAGAGCTGGTGACAAGCCATATACCCCAACTGCCTGCGAGGAGCCAGAGGCCAGGAGCAGAAGCCACAGCCTGAAGCCTCCCGCCCAGCCCAAGGCATGCCAAAGTGTACAGACACCCCCCTCATGTTTTCACCCCATCTTGTGCAGCTGCCAAAGCTGTGGCAGGGGGTTGTTCCTGCATGGCATAATAGCCATGGCCTGGGGGTGTCCCCCAGTGCAAGCAGTGCCTCTCAAAACCCCTTCTTGTCTCGCCAACAGAACAGGGAACCACAATTGCACCCCCAGGGCCAGCTGCAAGCAGCCACTGTCTACAGCCAGGACCCTGCGCCCCACCAGGTGAGCCCTCGATGTGACACCTGGTGCAGCCCCAGGAGGAACTGTTGGGGTTCCCCTGGCATGTTCATTTGCCTTGGCCATGAAAAGAAAACACAGGGTTCAGCTCCTGGGGGTTCACCACATTACAACCCCCAAGAAACAGGCAATCTTACCACCCTGAAAGGATTGGTATGTTTGGTGCAGGGTGGGTGATGCAGGGGGAGAGGGCAAGGGCGGTGAAATACCTGGCCACAGCCATGGATTCAGCCCGTGAGGGTGGCAGTGACCCCTGCCCACTCCCCCGGGGACAGGAGAATGAGGATGAGTGTGCAGCATGCGGTGACGGTGGTGAGCTCATCTGCTGTGACGGCTGCCCCAGGGCCTTTCACCTTGCCTGCCTGGTGCCCCCGCTGCCCCACGTCCCCAGGTGAGTCCCAGGCACGCAGCGATGCCAGTGCCCCCGCTGCCCCACGTCCCCAGGTGAGTCCCAGGCACGCAGCGATGCCAGTGCCCCCTGCCGTCCCTCACTGCTCTGCTTGCACTGCG